GGGGGGAAGGAGCTGATAACGGTTTGTAGAAACCCTAGGTCTAGCACTGCCCAGTCAGGCAGAGCAGAGCCCTGGTCTTTTCATTACTTCTGAGCCTGTTTAGTGCTATTAGTCTGGTCAGGAGCTTGATTGATCCATCTCTAAAACATCCCTATCTTGGGTTTGAGTATGATTTCTGAGCAGGAGTTCCAGACAGGATGAGCTAGTCTGAAACCGACCTGGGATCTGAAAGCAACACAGTCAATGGAACAGGGTGTTGAGCTTCATTATGAGGTTTCATTTCTTGAGAACATATTGTAGAACTATTGCCTTCCTGGGTTGAAACCAGAAAATCAAGACTTCCTCCTCACTGTGGTCTGTGCTGTCTGTCCCATTGTGTCCTTCTGTGGGTCACTGGAATGAGAAGATCTGGAGTTCAGCCTGAAGCTGAAGCTCTGACTCTGGTCTTGGGCAAGGCATTTCCCTTCCATGGGCTACTACTACTTCCTCATCTGTAAGTGAAGGAGTTGGATCAGACTGGGGGAGGCAAACTGTGGCATTATTAACCAGCCAAATCTGGACTACCATCTGTTTGTTTGTTGTATAATAATTTTTATTTTTAGAGCACTTTTTGGCTCACAGCAAAATTGAGTAGAAAGTACAGAGTTTTCATATACTTCCTGCCCCAACACACGCGCTATCAATGCCCTGCTCCAGAACAGGGCATTTGTTAAAATTGAACCTACGTTAACATGCCACCACGCAAAGTTTCCATTAGAGTTCACTCTTGGTGTGTACATCTCGGGTTTAGACAGATATGTAATGACAGGTATCCACCATTGTAGTATCATACAGAATAGTTTCACTGCCCTAAAAAAAAAAAATCCTTCTGATTTTTGTAAATAAAGTTTTACTGGAACACAGCCCAACCTATTCATTTACATAACATCTCTGACTGCTGTGCACTATGATGACAGAGTTGAGTAGCTGAAACAGGGACCACATAGCCTGTGAAGCCTAAAATATTATCTGTCCCTTTATGGAAAAAGCTGGCCGACCCCCAGACTAGATGATTTTCAGGAAGCTTCTAGAATCTGTGATTTTCTGTTAGGTAATTCTGCATTTTGTTCTTCCTCTTCATCCCGCTCCTTCTTTTCCCTCTCTCTCTTGGGACCCCTCCAATGCTCTGACATAGCTGCCACTGTCCCGGAGCAGAGGACTGTGACCCTGGACGTGGATGTGAACAACCGCACAGACCGGCTAGAGTGGTGCAGCTGTTACTATCATGGCAACTTCTCCCTGAATGCGGCCTTCGAGATCAAGCTCCACTGGATGGCAGTGACCGCCGCCGTCCTCTTCGAGATGGTGAGAACCTCCTCATGCTGTGGTCAGGGCCTTGGCTCACCTTGCAGAGGGGGACAGTGGATGCTTGGTAGAGATTCATGTCACTTTTTGTTTTCTTTAGTTCAGGCTCCAGTTACCTTTCACCTACACTGCTGGAATAGCCTCATACAAAAAATTTAAACACAGTAAAAAATTCAAACAGCTTAAAGGGAATAGGTTGGGATTTCTCAGCCTTGGCACTCTTTTTTTACTTTATTTGTTTATTAAAAAAAATTTTTTTTTAATGTTTATTTACTTTTGAGAG